ACTTCTATTTGAGATTTTAACTGAAACTTCACAAAATACACATGAAATTTACGTTTTTGTTGTGTATTTTATGCATAAGTTAAAAGAAATAAGCAATTGCAACTAAAAATTACCAAATTTCTACATTTATTCATCTAATGTTTATATCGACACTAATAACATTGATATAAAAGTTAAGCAAGACAAGTTGAGGATGATGATTAAATGGGTGATATATATACTTAGTTATAATTCCTACTATTTGAAATTTAGAGTAAAACCTGACAAAATACCCATGAAATTAACGTTTTTCATGTGTATAAGCAATTGCAACTAAAACGTTTAATGAACGTAGTTACTTACGTTTTTTTTTCTTATATTCTCGTTCGTTCGCTCACTTAATCTTTTATACGTTACGTAATTCGTCGAGTGTATAGCGTATAGCTTATAGCAATCACAACGGTTAAATTTTATGATATACCGAAACGAATTCGATCGATTACTCATGATTTAATTATGAAACAAAGCGAAACGACGACGACAAATATAGAGAGAAAAAAAAGCCAACAACATTAAACGTAATTGATTAGTACTTTTTTTTTATATATATTTATATTTATAACTCGCGTATCGTGCGTTCAAAAGATAAGTATGTACATTCGTATCGTTTATTTTCATGTTTCAATATTTGTATTTTATTTACAAATTTTTTTTTAATAATTTTTATATAATTATTTAATAAAAATTGGAATTCAAAATTTGTAATTTACAAATTTGTAATTTCTTTTAATAATAAATTTATTTTTGTATTTAATAATTTATTGTATTCTTTATCTTTATTATCAATGAAAATTTCACTGATAACTAAAACTTTACAAAACGAAAGTGAGAAACGTTTGTCATTGTGAAAATATGCGTAATTTTCACGTACTTCTATTACAAATCGATTAAACTAAATATTTATTGTGTGTTGTTGTTGCTATCATCACAAGGAAAAGATAAAATTGCCTGAGAAATATCAATAAATCGTGCACACTTCTCCAGACATCGCATCAAACTCTTCAAAGAAACATTAATTTCAACAGATTTTTAACAAAGTAACTGAGCCTTTTTTTAAACAGAAATCATTCATAATTATTTTACTTAGAATATTATGTAACAAAGCTGATGGGTTTTCCCATGTACATTTAAACACTTAAGTAGCTAACAAAGCGCTAATGTTCATTGCTTATTTACAAGATTTACTGCAATAAACGAAAACATTTGTTCTTGTTATTAAAAATCCTTTAAGAAATGTTATTTTAAATGCAAATTATGATCAACTTTTATATAGCAAAAAAATTAGTTTAAGTCAATAACACTTTCGAAATTGTAACATTTCAACTATTAACTCTATAAAATATATATAAAGTCAAAGAAAACCTTTATAAAAGTAGACAACTTTTTGAACTTTTATACAGTAAAAATATGATAAAATTAGTTTTAGTCCATAAGTCTTATAAGTCTTTCAGTTATTAATTTTGAATAATAGATAATAAAAATATCTACTTATATTAAAAAAGTGTATAATTTTGAATTGTTATTGAAAACTTTTATAACAATTAGAAAATTAAACAAATCAGTGTTATTTTTTTTGTAATTGTCTACACATTTCGAAATGGATTCAAAAGTCTATTGACTTAATGAAAGTAGGGTTTATTTTTTTTATACGTAGGTTGCTAATTGCTAAATGCTATCAAAGAAACCTACGTTTTTTTTTTCAATGAAAATTATAGAAAGTATAGTATTTTTTTTTAGATTGTAAAAGATTCAGAATGGTTTAAGTTTTGTTGAATGAATGGATAGAAACGTGGGTTGTTTTCAATGAAGAAATATTTCGTAAGAATTAAATAATATTAAAAAAAAGCAGTTTTCAATGAAAAATTCAAGAATCGTGTTTTCTTTGTATAAAAAATGTATAGTAAAAGTTTCAATGGATTCAGTTTTGTAGAACGAATATAGAAATACTTCGCATAGTGCGGGGCTTCGATTAGTCCGGATTCAATGTACAAAATTTGAATTGAGCAAAGTGTATATAAATATTATTTTTATACATCAACAATCTTTTTTTTGCTCTATTTAATTACACGATTAGTTCAGTTTCAATCGATTATCCGCACTATGCGAGGTATTGTTGTATTTCTTTTAAATAAAGAAAAAATGTACATTTCTACTTGTTTTTTAAGAAATTTAAGTTTTCAATGAAAAATTTCGATTAAAACTAATACGATTTTTATTCAAATTAGTATAGTTTTTAGGTTGTAAAATATTTAGGATGAATGAAAAGGAGCGTATTATTTGTATACGTGAGTTGTTTTGAATGAAGAAACATTCAAGAGAGAAAATGTAAAAGAAAAACTAAGTTAAGAATAAATTAAAAGAGAAACCGGAAAATCTAACATGTTTTTTCTTATAAGAAAATCTGTACTATTTTAGATTATACAAATTTCATAATTGATTAAGTTTTGTTGAATGAATACAGGAATACCTCGCATAGTGCGGTGCTTCGATTTGTGCGGATTCAATAGAGAAAATATGTACTATTTTAGATTGTACAAGTTTCATAATGGTTTAAGTTTTGTTGAATGAATACAAGAATCGATTAGTGCGGATTCAATAAATAAAATCTATACTAAATTAGATTGTACAAGTTTCATAATGGATTAAGTTTTATTGAATGAATACATGAATACCTCGCATAGTGCGGTGCTTCGATTAGTCCTGATTCAATAAAGAAAATGTAAAAGAAAATCTAAGTTTAGAATAAATGAAAAGAGAAACCTGAAAATCTAACATGTTTTTTTTATAAGAAAATCTGTACTATTTTAGATTGTACAAGTTTTATAATGGATTAAGTTTTGCTGAATGAATACATGAATACCTCGCATAGTGTGGAGCTTCGATTAGTCCGGATCCAATAGAGAAAATGTAGAAGAAAAATTAAGTTTAGAATAAATGAAAAGAGAAACCTGAAAATCTAACATGTTTTTTTTATAAGAAAATCTGTACTATTTTAGATTGTACAAGTTTCATAATGGATTAAGTTTTGCTGAATGAATACATGAATACCTCGCATAGTGCGGTGCTTCGATTAATGCGGATTCAATACACAAAATCTGTACTATTGTACTATTTGCAAGTTTCATAATGGATTAAGTTTTGTTGAATGAATACAATAATCGATTAGTGCGGATTCAATAGCTAAAATCTATACTAAATTAGATTGTACAAGTTTCATAATGGATTAAGTTTTGATGAATGAATACATGAATACCTCGCATAGTGCGGTGCTTCGATTAGTCCGGATTCAATAGAGAAAATGTAAAAGAAAAACTAAGTTTAGAATAAATGAACAGAGAAACCTGAAAATCTAACATGTTTTTTTTATAAGAAAATCTGTTTTATTTTAGATTGTACAGGTTTCATAATGGATTAAGTTTAGTTGAATGAATACATGAATACCTCGCATAGTGCGGTGCTTCAATTAATGCGGATTCAATACACAAAATCTGTACTATTTTAGATTCTACAAGTTTCATAATTTATTAAGTTTTGTTGAATGAATACAAGAATCGATTAGTGCGGATTCAATAAATAAATCTATACTAAATTAGATTTGTACAAATTTCATAATGAATTAAGTTTTGTTGAATGAATACAGGAATACTTCGCATAGTGCGGTGCTTCGATAAATGCGGATTCAATACACAAAATCTGTACTATTTTAGATTTGTACAAGTTTCATAATGGATTAAGTTTTGTTGAATGATTTGTAAAGATATTTTTTTTTAAACAACTAAATTACTATTGTATTTAGTTCCTCGATTAGTCCGGCTTCAATCAATCAACCGTACTATGCGAGTATTTCTTTTCAAATGAAGAAAAACAATGTACATTTCTAAGATATGTAAGATTTCAATCAAAAAGCGAAAACTTCAAAACTAATACGGTTATTATTCAAATGAGTATAGTTTTTATGAATGAAAGGTGCGTAATTATTTTTTTCCTGTTTTGGACGTGGGCTGTTGTTTTGAATGAAGAGAAGAAGGAAAAAAATTGCGCAAGGGTTAAATTTCATAGCCGCCTACTACTTCCGGTCCGAGCCAAATTAGAAACGCTTCAAGAAAGGTGAAGGTGTATATAAGAAAAATCGATAGATAAATTGATGAGATTTCCGAATTGTCGGAACTTTCCTTCTTCGGCGAACAGAATTATCTTCGACGATTACGTAAGTGGCGACGTGCAAGAAGTGTCTTTAGCTAAATGCGACCGTACATGGTAATTTAAGAGACGGACACGTGCGGTTCGGTTCACCCACTTCGAACCTAAATAATGTAACTTTTTTTACCTCTTCTCTCTTTCTCTCTCTCTCCTCACAACACACACGCGCGCGCGTTTATTTGGTTTACCTATTATGGCAACCAGAAGAGTGCGGTTGTTGTTGGTGTGTTTGTTATGTGACGTCCTCGATCCCGCTGCCGCTTCCACCGATCACCTTTCCAATACACTTCTTCGACCGGATAACACCGACTAATAAGCATATGCATGCATGCCCCATCGTTTTATTCAAATCCGAACCTCTACATGACTGCAATAAAAGAGCGTCCAACTAATTGCCAATATATTTCAAAAAACGCAAACAACCTGCGCTCTTCCAAATCCGCAGGTGATCCCAGAAAGAAAGAAACTAACGCACACAAGGGGAGAGAGAATAAAAAAGAAATAAAACCCTGAACGATGAGATGAAAAGAATAAAAATAGAGAAGACTTAAACCGATTACGAGAAGAAACGAAATCCACCTTTCCCTTTCGGAGGGCAACAGCATCGCAGGTAGCCGTGACCGAATCGAACAACAACAAAAAAAACAAATTCATCACGAAAACTCAAAACATCAACAACATTACTTGTCAAAATCAAAACAATTTTAGATAAAACAATAAAATCCCTTAAACTACACTTGTTTTCATTCAGATTTCCTCACCTGAGAGACTCCTTCGTGTTTAATTTTCTGCGCCTTTTCGCAACTTATTTCATCTCTTCGTTCACTCGAGTTGAATTGGAATTTGATTATTTCTCTCCCTCGTAGATTTTGGCGTTTGTTGCTCTTCGTCCTCCGGTTGTTTAGATTTTTTTTTGCACAGACACACGAACCGAAAGAGCGCGCGGTTACAACTTATCCGCACTAATGCACGTCTGCTTGTGCTGTGCGGTGCAGTGCGAGTGGTGTAGTGTGTTCAGTAATGTTTTCAATTCCTACCAGACATTCTTCGAAAGAATCCCTGCCGCGCGCAAGAGAGAAGGGCATCTGGGAACCGGTTCGTGCTGAACAAGGAATATCTCGGTGGGACGAAGGTTGCATAACGTCGGCGTCCGTTTTTTTTTTTCTTCTTTTGGATGGACGGCAACCAGCTGGACAGACGCCACGCACTTTACGATCCATAAAATCGAGTTAATAAACTTTTTGGGGGCGAGGATGATGATTATGATGATGATGATGATGGAGAGACGCGAGTGGAAGAAGTTACCGAGAAGAAGCTGCATTCCACTATTAAAGACACTCGTTAATTTTTTTCTACGTAGTCAAGGACGACAGCGTTCAAAGCCCTTTTCGATTCTATTTCATTTCAGTCATTAACATTCTGAAGAAATACTGACAAAAAAAATAATAATAAATCAAAAACTAATCGTTTTTTTTTGTTGTTGTTGTAAAGGAAACAATTCTCAGAATTCGTAATTTGAAATGTAATAATGAAGAACTGTTTGCAAATTTACTTCAAAGTTTTATGAAATTTGCTTTGAATTTGTATAATGTTGTTTTCAAATTTGTATGAAATTTACGTTTAAAATACTTTAAATTTGTATAAAAATTGACATTGAATTTGTACGAAATTTACTTTGAATTTGTTTAAAATTTTCGTCAAATTTTGTATAAAATTGTTTGAATTTGTATAAAATTCGATGTAAATATGTACAAAATTGACTTTAAATTTGTGTAAAAATTGTATGAAATTTACTATGAAGTTGTTTAAAATTTTCGTCAAATTTTGTGTAAAATTTACATTGAATTTGTACAAAATGTACTTTGATTTATACTAATTCAAAATACAATGTAAGTTTTGTATAAAATAGTTTGAATTTGTATAAAATTCGATGTAAATTAAATAATGTACAAAATGTAAATATGTACAAAATTGACTTTAAATTTGTATAAAAATTGTATGAAATATACTTTGAATTTGTTTAAAATTTTCGTCAAATTTTGTATAAAATTTACATTAAATTTGTACAAAATGTACTTTATACTAATTCATAGTACAATTCAAATTTTGTATAAAATAGTTTGAATTTGTATAAAATACGATGTAAATATGTACAAAATTGACTTTAAATTTGTATGAAATTTACTTTGAATTTGTTTAATTTTTTTGTCAAAATTTGTGTAAAATTTATATTGAATTTGTACAAAATATACTTTAATTTATACAAGTTCAAAGTACAATGTAAATTTTGTATAAAATTGTTTGAATTTGTATAAAATTCGATGTAAATATGTACAAAATTGACTTTAAATTTGTGTAAAAATTGATATTGAATTGGTATGAAATTTACTTTGAATTTGTTTGAAATTTTCATCAAATTTTGTGTAAAATTTACATTAAATTTGTACAAAATGTACTTTGATTTATACAAATACAAAGTACAATGTAAATTTTGTATAAAATTGTTTGAATTTGTATAAAATTCGATGTAAATATGTACAAAATTGACTTTAAATTTGTATGAAATTCACTTTAAATTTGTTTAAAATTTTTATTGAATTTGTACAAAATATACTTTGATTTATACAAATTCAAAATACAATGCAAATTTTGTATAAAATAGTTTGAATTTGTAAATATGTACAAAATTGATATTCAATTTGTGTAAAAATTAACATATTATACAAATTCATAAAATTTACATTGATTTTGTACAAATTTGTATAAATTTTAGTTTAAATATATAGAATACAAAATTTGAAGTAAATATGTGTAAAATTTATTATAAATTTATATAAAATTTGCTTCACAAACTCGAAATTTAAAATTTAAATCAAATTTCGATAAAATTGCAAGTAAATTTTATACAAATTTACAGTTTAAACTTTGATTCACATCGAATTCGTCTAAATTTTACTCTATATACAAAAAAAACTTCATAATTTTTTTCAAAATTTCTTTCCATTTAATTATTTGAATATACGAAGAAAAATATTGTTAATTTTGATTAATATTTCAAATGAAAATTGATAATTTAAATTGTATTTCCATTGAATTTCAATAAGCAAACTTCAATATTTGTTAATACCAATTAATTATGTTTTCTGTAAACAAAACAGTAAATTATTGTTTTTCATAAAATTTTCTAGTAATTGTATTATCTAAGAAAACATGACATTTTTGTAGATTTTCCAATAATAATTCAAACTTTATAATTACATTTCCAGTAAAACTTCAATAAGTTCAATATTTGTATAGATTTTATGAGCGTTGAAACGGTTTTACAAACAAACTAATTTTTCATGTGATTCTGATGATACCCTTTCTTGTAATTACCCAAAGATATCTGAAATACTCTGTTTGATCAAGGAAGACAACAAGACCTAAATTACTTCGCAAAAATGAATCGATAATTTTTATTTTCTTTGAAAAAAATATCATAATTACATTTTCTAACAAAAAAAAATATGAACTTTGGACTGTCGTTAACTACGGCGCTTATAAGTTGAAGATGAACGAGTCTTCTCTTTGGTCATCATCTCGCATTGAATCTGTTAAGAGTTTCGTTTCGAGAGGATCGACGAATTTTTAATGGTCTCCGGACAGAAGATGCGCTGAATCATCGGATGACGGACCGTTTCGACGCCCCTACCTTTGTCTTCAGGATGATGCGGAGGATTCCTGACGACTCCCGAAGACGCTGCCGCTCCATCGCCGACAGGATTCCAATCCAGCGTAAATGCAAACACAACGAATCCAAGAAAATCTCAATCTCCTTTGTATAAACTATACATTAAATCTCAACAAGAAAACGAGAAAAAAACACAATTATTTACCTTCGTCCTTGTTACAAGTCTCAAGCTCATTATCTACGTACATTCTTACTTACAACGTTTTTTATTTAAAGCAGAATGAAACGTAAAAAGTTTCGTTGCGATTGGAACAAATAATGTTATTAGTTTGATTGGTTTAAAAATTTGTTATTTAAGACAAAGCACATTACCCTGTGGAACTCGCATTTCGTTTGTCTCTTTAGAAGAATTACAAAACGCTCTTTATACAAAAGAATTGCAACACTTAACATGAAACTAAGAAGCAACAGTTGACATTAATTTTGTAGGTTACCATAACAACATAATTTTTGTTTATATTATTTTGTATTTTGTAAATAGTCCAAATCTAAGAAGTTAATTTCAATGTTTGGATCAGGAATGTGTGGACTAGCGTTTCTCAAAGTTTTAACCCAATTGCTAACAGTTTTCATAGACATTTAACACATGGTGACAGCTGTCATTTTGTAAACAATTCAAAATTTAACGAGATACATAAGTTGAAAAACGCTGGTATTGACGTTTATATTTAAGAAAATGAGTGTGTAGACCAATGTTTCTCAACCTTTTCTTGTTATGCTGCAACCTAATTGCTGACAGTTTTCATGGACATTTGACACATGGTGACAGCTGTCATTTTGAGACCCATTGAAAATTTAACGCGACAGGTATATTGAGAAACGCTTTAAATTTAGATAAATTAGTGTGTCCAATGTGTGACCAATGTTTCTCAACCTTTTCTGTTGTGCTGCAACCCAATTGCTTACAAGTTCTCCATCCATATTCGACACACGGTGACAGCTGTCATTTTGTGACCCATTGAAAAATTAACGCATGGTATAGGTTCAGACCTTTAGATTTAGGGAAATGAGTGTGTAGACCAATGTTTCTCAACCTTTTCTGTTGTGCTGCAACCTAATTGCTAACAGTTTTCATGGACATTTGACACATGGTGACAGCTGTCATTTTGAAGCTCACTACAAATTTAATGCCACACGTAGATTGAAAAACGCTTTAAATTTTGGAAAATGAGTGTGTAAAGCAATATTTCTCAACATTTTCTTGTTATACTGCAACCTAATTGGTAACAGATTTTCACAAGTTCTCCATGGATATTTGACACATGGTGACAGCTGTCATTTTGTGATCCATTAGTAACAGATTTTCACAAGTTCTCCATGGATATTTGACACACGGTGACAGCTGTCATTTTGTGACCCATTAAAAAATTAACGCAACTCATAAGTTGATACCTTTAGATTTACGGAAATGAGTGTGGACACCAATGTTTCTCAACCTTTTCTGTTGAGCTGCAACCTAATTGCTAACAGTTTTCATGGTCATTTGACAAATGATGACAGCTGTCATTTTCTACCAATTAAAAATTTAACGCGACACGTAGGTTGGGAAACGCTGGTTTAGATCTTTAAATTTAGGAAAATGAGAGAAACAATAATTTTTCGTTTCCTATATTTATAAAATATACAATTACTAAAATAATATAAGAAAAAAAAATATATGAATATATATACCAGAACTAGACTATCCTCGTGTTTCTTTCTGTTTAGTATATAACAAATTTGCGAGAGGGCACAACAAAATGAAATTATTACAAAACAAAAAACGAAAACGCATTTCGTTTCTTTTTTGTTTGTTTGTTTTGTATAAAGAGGCAACAAGTATGATATGAATTATTTAACAAACTTAAAAGTTAAGTCAAAACAAAAAAACTTAAGTCTATTGCGTAAGTCTAATTATGTACAAATAATCTGAAAAATGAAACGAAAAGAAAATCTAAAAGAAAAGAAAACTGAGCATTTCCATTTTTTGTTTCACTTTATTAAAATTATAAATAATTAATATCACCGTTAAATAAAAGCTGCGTTATTTAACTTAAAAAGTATATAACGATTTGTTATTATTTTAACAAGAAGATGGAAATACTCAGTTTGCAATTCGCAGACAAGAACGAATCAAAACCGGACTGTTACGATAAATATATCTTTACAACAACAAAATTTAACCGGAACTTAATAATCAAGACAAGACTGCTACAAAAACTAAAACCTCTAGTTAAAAATTTTAACAGGTAGTTAACAATCCAGGGCCCATGCTACTTTCAGATGTAAAACAAAACAAATGAAGCCTTCAGTTACAAAAAAAAAATAACCGGGAGTTAAAAAATATGATTAAAAACAAACAAATTAGACCCGGATTGCTACGATGAACTGACTTCCAGTTAAATAAATTTAACCGGTGGTTAAAAATTAAAAACCACCACATTCTGATCCGACTGAAAACCATAGTAACAAGAAAAGAAATAAATTTACTTACATTAGATGTTAAAAAAATATTCGTTTCCGAAAACAAAACAAAAAAATAAACAAAAGACGTATTCGAAACAGAACATTTGATTTATTGATTAATTGATGCATCTCTAATAAAGATCAAGTTTTCTTTTAACAACAAAACAAAACAGAAAATCGATTTGTTAAATATTTTCGATACGTTTAAAATTTACACAAAAAAAACTTGAATCCAAATTTTTTTTTCTCTTTCTCTATAAACAAATTTTAAAAATAAAGATATTTACACATACACACACACATATTCATCATGGAAGACAGGCCCAACAAATTAAGTTAAAAAAAAAAAAGAATTTAAAGATAGAATAAAGAAGGATAATAATAATAAGTTAATTATGTTTCTATATGAAAAGCAAGAGGAGCAACAAAAAAAAAATGATAACATTATTTTATTCGTTAATAAGTATTTTGTTTGTCTTAAGGTTGTTTTGGCACATGGATAAAGAGTGTAGTTTCTTAGTGTAGATGATGTACAAATTAGTTCATCGGGTTTAAATTTAACAAAGAACTTAATTAAAAACAAAAACAAGAAAGTAATCAACAACAACAGAAAGCATCAATTCTAGGCCAAAAATATTGCTTCGAATGAAAAAAAAAAAACAAAAAACAAAAAAAATTATATAGAGTTAAAGAAAAAACAGTTTTCTCCTTTCATAAAGGTGAAAAAGTCTTTCGATAATAAAGCGACTAACATTAAATGTTGAGGCATAATGGTATTGCTTTTAAGATTTAGAATCACGATCAACGATTTGAAAAAGTATATATATATATAGCTATGTATATAATGTTTTGTATTCTTTTTTTTTTCAATATATATATATAATATAAATAAATTAACCTTCCAGTATGTACAATCTCCTTAATAATTAAAACATGATTACATTATATATCAAGTTCACTCGTGTCTTCGGACACGGAAGACAAAAAAAAAACAAAAACAAAAGAATCGTTTCCTTTTTTTTGTCCATCTCTCGGAGAAAAATTACACCAAAAAAATGATAATAATAATAATAATAAAGAACAATATACAAAAGATGATTGTTTCCACGTAATTCCTATCATGAACATTTACAAATATCAATAGGAAGAGCAAATATCACGGGTGATAGAAAAAATATATATATATAAATATATTTTATATATATACGCTACTCTTCTACGCGTAGAATTAGTTTTTTTCTGAAAGTACTCTAGCGGACTCGAAGAGTGCGGAGCCCACAAACTACATTATCATCATCTATTCGTCGAATCACTAAACGTTATTGCTTGAGAATAAGACCGAAACTAAATAAAGAAGGAAAAAAAAAACACAAGAAACAACAACAACAACAATAGAAAGAGAAAATGAATAAAAACAACAAACAAAGTAGTTGAAACGGAGCTAAAAGAAAAAGATAAGTCTAAGAACTTAAGAAGTAGTCGTAGAGTTTATAAATATAAATAAATTAATTAATATATATATATACGATAAATACATTTCTAAACATAACAGATGTTCCAATTACTTTTTTCTTCTTCATCATCGAATAACTTCCATTAAATTTTCTTTCAAAAAAAAAAACAAATATATCATTCAATTTTTTTCTTCTTCTTCTTCGGTTAATCGATTTTGCAAACGTTGTGCATCTCAAATATATATATATAATATGTATACAAATAATATCTACTTACGCCTGCTTAACTTAAAGAAAAAAAATTAATAATAATATATAGTAAGATTATATAACACAAATTAATTAAAGATTTGGTAACTGTTCTTGCGTATGACTGTGTATAATTTGATTAGAAAAAAAAAAGTCAGTTTACCATATTGCAACGATTCTCTTCACACCACTCTCTCTCTCTCTTTACATATATATATATTTATAAGACTATAGCAGACCACGATATTTACACATATCACGGCGAATATGATCGTAAAAAGTTATTACTTCATCAGTCTGGCGTAAATACAAAAATTCGTAAAACAATCCTAAATTATTAAAAAAAAAATAATGATAATGATAATAATAATAATAAAATAATAAGAAATAATAAATTAACTATGTCTCCAACTATGGCGTCGCGACGCCATAATCTTAAAAAGTATTATTACCTTGACTGCTTGGGTTCAATCACGTCTTTCCTTCTTTTCGCCCAATCGCCGTCCGTTTGCAAGAAACTATTGTTATTGTTATTATTGTTGTTGTTATGGCTACTACTATTGTTGTTGTTGTTGTTACTGGTGTTCGTGGGTCTCCTAGTCTCTTTCTTCTTCCTGAGCATCCTCGGCCGAAACTGTGAACTCTTCTCCGGTTTTTCCTCCCCGTTCGTCTTGATCCGTTTTCCGTTCGCGCTGTTGCACTCCGAATTCGTTCGTTTCCTCGTGTGGATTCCCGCAAGGTTCAGGAGCGCGTCCGCTCCTTCCTTGATCCTTCGATCCTCCTCGTCCTCGAAATCTATTTTCCTACGCGTATTCGGCACCCTAAAACAAAAATTAGTACACGTTAATTTCAATATCGACATTTGCTATGTTTTGTAACCATTTTATTCGCTGCGTCATTTCGATTGGTCGCAATTTCGTGCATCAACCAATCGAATGATGCGAGGTGTATCTTATTAATGCGTTCGTTTGGTCGAAGTGATCGCGCTCGTTGCGATTGGTTGTTTATTGCTTTCACACATCTGTCAATGCAAAATAACATTTTCTCATACAATTAAACAAACAATAACAAATACTCATTATTTGTTTATAAATAATTATTAAAAGCTGTAACATTCACAGCAAAGTGCATAAAGTTGCAGCATTAAATAATTTCTTTCATGCACCAAAAAATATGTGATTACTTTATAGAATATGACTAATTACTGGTGAAGTACAAATAATCGAATTTATGCTAAATATGAAAATTCAATATTTAAATCATGGAAAATCAATGAAAATAATTAAAAAAATAATAATAGTAATTAGTTATTTGAAATCAACTAACGACCTAAATCTCTCTGTTTTTTATTTCAAATTATTAGTAAATTTGCTGATAATTGTACTAAATACAAAAAGTAAACAATATTCTTAAACATAAATCTCTTATTAATAAAATTACGCAAGTTTGATTAATTAAAACAAACTTTGTGTAAAATTTAAATTTCTTTCATTAACTCGATCCAAGGCTTACTTTAATTTAATTTATTAATATTAATTAAGATAAATTAGTTAATTGACTTTCAGTTTGAATTTTTCATATTAATTCTTATAGAATTTACCACAATAATAAACTTTGTTGATTGGTATGTTACAAATACGTATTGTTTTTGCCCAAATACTCGATTAAACCGCAAGGAAACAGAAGATAGCTAAACCACAAAAAAAAACAAATACAAATCAAATTTCAAGGACTTCGACAAAACTTATAACTGGATCACATTAGATAAAGTATGCGGGCTTTAGCTAAATTAGTTTTAATTAATTATTACAAAGTAGATCACTTTATTTTAGTTTTGTTCATTTAGTTTAATTTTCAATGCACTTATAAATTTGATGATTTATTCTCAATTATATATCAGACTAGGAAGAAATGGATAGAACAATATAGAATCAAATCAGACCTAACAAATTATAGAGAACGGAATCAGGATTAACAAAATCCATCCCTTGATATACCATCCAAATTAAAGACATTTTCTAGAAAATTAAAATAATGGCATGTTCAAGATTAATTTTTTGAATTAGCGATTTGTTAAGAATATTTTGTTATTTTTAATATTTTTGTTCATTTTTTAATGTTAATTAATTTGTATAATTTTGAATTACCTTTCGTCTTCGCTTTCGAAAGCCTCGTCGATGGAACCGTTTTGATTCGCTGCAGAGTAGGTGTGATCTTGACTTGGTGACGTGGTGATGACCATGTTTTTCTTCATCCTATGCCTTGGTCCGTCCCGCAGGCTGAGCATGACGGTGGCGGCGTCGACGGCGTCCAGCGAATCGGCGTCGGTCGTCTCCGTTTTGACCCACCTGCTCATCTCGGTCGATAGGAATGGGAAAAGTTCGGCATTGGGCAGACGCGACGAAGCGTTGCTGTTGCTGTTGTTGTTGCTGCTGCCGTTATTGTTATTGTTGCTGTTACTATTGCTGTTGCTGTTGGTGGTGGCGTTGAGCTTCTCGGAGGGTTTGGATTTGTAGTAGTCGCTCGGATCGAGGGTGGAGCAGGGATGGAAAGGTGATCTGGTCAAAGCTTGCAGCAGGTTCGGGCGATACTGCTGATCCACTGTCCACAGCGAACCTTTTCCTAGGTTCTGGAAATGAGTTAGAGTTAGTGTTAGGGGATTGTGTTTATTATTAGTTGATTGATTTCGTTACGCTTACCGGTGCCTTTTCGACTTTCTGAAAGCACTTGTTCAGCGACAGGTTGTGCCGCACGCTGTTCTTCCAGCCCGTCGGCGCCGTCTTGAAGTAGGGAAAATGGTCCATGATCCAAGCGTATATCTCCTTGACCGGCAATGCCTTTTGGTACGAGTCTTCGATGGCCATGAATATGAGGCAGGAGAACGAGTAGGGAGGTTTGTTTGTGACGTGCACCATTGGGTCATAGGGTATCGTGTGTGGATGCCTGTACCTAGCCTGCTGCTTGTTCGGCGGCTGTGGCGTTAAGGGGATTGGAGAGTTAAGCGAGCTACTGGACGAGTCCGCCGCCGATATGGAGGAATCGTCGACATAGTCGCTCGTCGGTGATTGGTCTAAAAGTATAGAAGTATTCCATTTTGTCGGACTAGTCTGTACGCTATTTGAAGGAGAAGGATTTACCAAATTCATATCTTCAAATAAACAAAAATGGTTTTTGTTATGAAAAGAATATGAAGAAGCACACTGTGCAGAATGTCTTGACATTACCTTTCAGCAGATCTTTGTTCTGCAGCCAGGAGAGACTGGTCAGATCGTCGTCGGAGGCCTTGCTGCTCTGGCTTTGCGCGACCGCCAGCAGGATGGTAAATGCCGATTGATCGTCTCGGGCCGGGGTTCCTGCAACAGGACTACCCGGAACTGACATTTTCGGAGTCATCACTTTCTCCTCCTGTGGGGAAACTGCCCGTTCAGGTGACATACTAATAAACTCTGCAACAGAACACGACGACTTCCTTTACTAACTCTTTTTTTTTTTTGTTTACCACACTAAAACAGTTCTTTTAAACGTACTAATTGCTTCTCTCTCGCTTTACCAGTAGGACATATCAATTTTCGAAATGGAAATAAATAAATAAACGCTCCCCGTGTGCATGCTCTATCTCTCTGTATGTGTGTAGACGTTGCGATGGGTATTTCTGTCTATCTTGGAAACGCACGTCACGTGTTACAGCCGTCACCTAGCAACGCGAGGCCAGCGTCACTAGCGTCGCGATGCTGCTGCTCCTCCACAAACTTCAAGACTCATTAAAATTAAACCGCCCAGTCCCATTTTCACAATTATCAAAAACCCTTTCCCTCTACCACAAACACACACTGATCACAAAAATACCCCCATCCTTTACACTTCTACAATATTCACAACGATTATTGAAAACACACGTTGTTTCAAACGCACGAAAAAAATGCAACTGAATATTATTTACGCGTCAAATCTTACCAACCAAAAATGCTAATTAAATCACTTATTTTCTAAATCCCCCAAAAAATTATTAAAAACAATGCAAATGTCAAATCTTGCCAACCGATTGATAATTAATTAAACAATTCCCCAACAAAAAAAAATGTAAATTATAACTTAAATAAAATTCATAGAAAATTCGTCTATACTTCAATTTTTCTATTAATAATATTCATATGCGCATTTAAAAATTGTTAACAAAATAAAACTTTTGTATATGAATATTTTATATAAGTCAAATGTTAAATGTTGCCAACCGATTGATAATTGATTAAACAATTCCCCAACAAAAATAAAATGTAAATTATAACTTAAATAATTATAACTTAAATAAAATTCATCGAAAATTCGTCTATACTTCAGTTTTTCTATTAATAATATTCATATGCGCATTTAAAAATTGTTAACAAAATAAAAACTTTTGCATTTGAATATTTTATATAAATCAAATGTTAAATGTTGCCAACCGATTGATAATTAATTAAACAATTCCTCAACAAAAAAAAATGTAAATTATAACTTAAATAAAATTCATCGAAAATTCGTCTATA